CTGACAGGGCAGATGGAGTGGCAGAAAGTAAAAATGAAGGGTAATTTTATTGTACACTGTAAGAAAGGTCAGTTTTACAGGAAGCTCATGTGCCATTGAAAAAATAATTCATGATTAATAAATTCTTTACTTCTTTAGAATTAAGGACTCAAGATTATTTTTTTTTTGTAGTTCTGATTTCTCTGACAGGGCAGATGGAGTGGCAGAAAGTAAAAATGAAGGGTAATTTTATTGTACACTGTAAGAAAGGTCAGTTTTACAGGAAGCTCATGTGCCATTGAAAAAATAATTCGTGATTAATAAATTCTTTACTTTTAGAATTAAGGGCTCAAGATTATTTTTTTTTTAACATTTTGTGTTTCCTTATGTAACCTGTGGTGGAAGCATTATGCCTGTACTCCTCAGAAGAGCAAAAAGGAGTCAATGCACAGCTTCTCATCAGATGGATGTGCTCTAGGTCAGGTCAGAAATGTCCACCATCGATTTGCACAGTGGCACTCGCTGGTGTTACACGTGTGCTCTCCTACACATGGTGTTAGCAGCTGCTGCTCAGGGACCTTTTATTTATAGACTTCATCTGCCACGCTGGATTTTTTATGGCCCTGCAAACTTGTAGGGGTATGAAGTGTCTAAATACTAGTTTAAGTATGTACACCATAAATTCAGCTATAAGATGAGGTGAACTTGAGGTATTTGTAGATCAGTTTAATCAAATGTGCCAGTCTGTGAAACTGCATAATATGCCACGTGCTTCCTGCATTTTACAGCAGCAGCAAAATTCCTTTACAAAATACATACAGCGAAAAGAGAGGTTGCACCAGCAGCCTCCAAGTTCACATGGTCTTGAAGGATTCTTATATTATTCTTCCTTGTTACTAGTCTCTGAAAGATTGGGACTATCAATTAATGTCATGAACTAGAATTTATAAAACCAGAACTAGTGGAAGATATTTGAAAAGTTACTGAAAATTGCTTTCTTATTTGTCTAGAAAACAAACAAACATTGCAGGCAGTTACCTTGCCTTGGTTTCATTGTCTGAAACATAAAAATCTGACAACAGCACAAAACCAAGGGCGTTATAGATTTGCCCTCACTCTCCCTATCTCTGTGCTCTTCTTCTTGGCAGCCTTCCCTAATGCAGCTGCTCGTGCTCCCTGGGGCAGAGGGACTAGAGTAGGAAAGAATATTTTGGAAGGGAGGGAGAAACAACGAAGGGAAACTTGCACCTCTTCAGGAGGTGCACCCCTATTCACCTTTGGGTGGTTAGGGGTAATAGCTTTATTTTGTAGCTATCATGGCAGAAATTGGATCTTTTCTAAACTTTAATGTGAGAAAAGTTTTGCAGGTTACCTGACCATGTGCCTGTGGTTTGGCCAAGTTTCATAAAACCTGGGCTACCTGCAGCACTTCTCAGATTTGCTGTCTGTGAACATTTAGATTTTTATTCATGTCACATTTGTAAGTGTTTTCACTGCCTCACAAGAACATGATGGAAGCTACAAAAAGCAAGATTTAGACAGGTTGCAGATCAAATCATGGAGCCATCACTGTGCCTGTGAGTAGAAGCCTTCTCACTTTCTCCATCCTGCACACTGTGATTTCTCCCCTCTCTTGTGTGTTGCAGTTAGCAAGATCAGTCATTTTTTGGGGCCTGGTACTTGCTGGGGTTGGTCTTTTTGGCGAGCAGAACATCTGCTGTCCCAGTGGATCCTAGTGCTTGCCAAGGGCTATCAGGAGCTCATGCAGTGCCTTCCAAGCACTGGTCACAGCAGTGTACAGACACACAGACACGATGAGAACACACCACTGCCATTTTACACAGACTGGCAAATGTTGCTTGGAACAGGAACCATCTTTTTGTTTCATATTTGTTTCCTGTTAATAACCCTAAATAAGGGAGAGCTGAGTATTCAGACAGGATTTTTGGAAGTAGTGCTAAATAATCTGTATAAAATCCCTGTTTAGAGAATAACACAGATTTCTGTTCAGCCAAATTTGGTGAAGAAAGATACAACATTCTGCTCTCATTTGGGGACTTCTGTTAAAATTTCCTATGTTATTCCTAGTCTAGGCTCATCTACTTTCTGTTTCCAGCTTTTGAATCTTATTGTGTCTTTGCTTAAATAAAGTGCCTTTATGGTGTGTGCTGTTCTGCTGCATAAAGGACTACAATGACCTAATTCATCCCTGCACATTTCTTTTTTGCAGTACCATTGACAGAGTTTCCCAAGTAATTTTTTTTTACTTTAATCCTTCAACCACGATTGTGCTAGTTCCCTGCATTGTCTTCTTCCTCAGCATATTTTCTGAACAGCTTTCCCTTAATAGTCACACTGATGCCAAAGACAGAGGTATTCTTTCATTTCCAGCCCCTTGTATCTCTGTTTATATGTGTGCCTTGTCACAGCCAGAAGTGAAATGGTAATAGGCTGGCCCAGGACCCTGTGGGAATGCCTGAACCTTTTGATCTCTAATGGCACAGCAAACTGACTCCTGCACAGAGAAGAAATAAGTTCCTTCCTTACTACACGTGTGAAGCAGCTTGGCCAAGTCCCAGGCCATGTGCAGACACTGCTTGAGAACAGCCCCTGCCACAGTGCCTGCTGGGCAGCTTTGGCTGTGCCCCAGAGGCAGAGCCTCTGACTGTCCTGAGGGGCTGCAGGTCCTGCCCTTCCTGCAGCTCACAGGGGCCACCTGCAGTGGTTCACAGACAAGGGGCAGGCAGCCTGTGGGGCTGGGGATGTGGTTTGTGCCACAGGTAATGCCTGAGCTTAAGGACCTTATAGCTGATACTGACAGGTCTTGTAAAAGCTGGTGGGGAGAGGAAGCAAAGAGGGGGACTCACATCTGAATGGACTTTTCCAGAAGATGTCTTCTAGCACATGGCAAAATACCATCTGTCCCAGGACAGAATCTTTTCTCTCACTCCAGCTCTGCTGAGTAATACAAGGCACAACAAAAGAACTATTATCCTGTAATTCTGTTTGTGATGCTTTCCTGAGGGCATCTTTATTAGCCTGCCAAGGAGCTCGCTCCCCAAAAGATGATGTAGACAGGAAGAAAATTTGGACACATCTGTAGCTTGTTCTCCAGGAGCTGGTGTGAACAGGGATGTGTTAAGTATTGAGCAATCTATTCAGGAATCCTGAATACATTAGAGGAGGGAAAATACATGACCTCCTCACTCCCTGCATGCATTGGAGGGTGATTAATTAATTGAATTATGCAGCTTGGTGCAAGGTGCTGGCAGGGGTCTAGTCTGTGGCACAGATGTTCTGGTGAGCATTTAATGGACTTGTGATATAAGTAGGAGTCAGGTGCCTCAGAGTGACTTTTAGACACAGTCAAGCAGAAAGAAACTTTTCCTATCAGAGTCTAGATTCCTGAATAGGTTGTCAAGGTCACAAAATGAAACAACACTTATCTGCCTCATGCTAATGATGTTCTGTCTCCTGATTTTAGGTAATAAAATGTGTGACAGACGGTATGGCTGTCTGTGAGCCCTGGAAATTCTCTCTCCCCCTGTCAAAGTCATCATAGACTGGGCTGAGGGGAAAGAGGTGCTTTGCCTTGCTGGGCTTTTCTGTAAAAGAAAGATTCTAAGTGTTTGGGGGTTGTGACATCTAGCTGTAAAAAAAAATGCAGTAGAAATGAATAGATTTGCATCTTAATTGTAAGAAAGAAATGCACCTGTGGACAATGACCAACGTGCTGCTCTTGTTCAGCTGCCTCAGTAAACACCAGTAAGCAGCTCTGTCAGATGCACAGGGCTTTGAGTGCACAGTCACAGGAGCAAGAGAAAGATGAGGTGACAGTTGAGACAAAGCAGGTTTTGAGTAGTTGAGTAAATCTAAATAGGTGCTGAACTGTATGAACCTACAGCCAAATGCTCTGCCTGCAGATCAGCAGCTTGGGAAGAACTATTCTGAATCAAACAAGGGGAAAAAAAGCAGTTTGTGTTCAGGATATGATAGTAAAAGGCTGAGAAGCTGCAGCTGGCAACATTCAAGGCTGTGTCCATTGGGCTGGTGATGATCAAAAGCTTCGACACGATTAAGTGATGTGTTTATCCCACTCCCTGTTTCTAATAAAGTACTCACCATCTTACAAGGAGGTAGAATGTTCAAGGCACTTCCCCTGAAGTTAGTACTATATGGGCAACCCCATGTATTTCCTAGGCCTCCAACAGCACCTCTCACCTGCTGTCCTTTGTCTGCTGGAAAAGGCAAGGTATTGTTTTCTGTTCTAGAGCTGGGGATTTGTGGGGGTGATGGGGTGTGGTGGAGCAGGCAGTTGTTATGTGACCAGGACAATGTCAACAGAGTGACAGCCTGCTTACCTTTATCACGTGCTTCCTCAAAAGGCTGCCTGGGTTGTTTTCTGTACCAAAGCCAAAACACTCTTAGAGCATTCACTGCTGAGCTCAGCTATCTCTGGATAGGACATGGATACCTGGGTCTTAGCTGAGCAGCAGCAAGGGGTTTAGTTCCTCCTGTTTTCACCATGTAAAGGGCTAATCAATGCAGAGGCCCCACAGGTATTGCCCAGGCTTGTGTGCCCCAGCAGGGTAAGTCATGCTACAGAGACTGGGCTTCACTTACACGTGTCCTTGTGCTAGACTGGCAGTGCCAAAGTCACTCTGTACCCTAGACACAGCTTGCATCTTGAGAAAGTGGTGGAGGGGAAGGGGAGCCCTTCAGAGTTGCAGCTGAGTCTATGCTACAGTAGAGGGGTTTCCATAGCCTGCTTTCCAGGCTTTAGCCCAATAGATATGGGAAAAGGCCCATTAGGTCCAAGTAAATCTGTCTTTTCAGGTAGATTGTCCAGCATGTCTGTAGGATACAGTACTGGTTACAGCACAAGGCTGCTAGGGAGAGGGTGTACTTTCTGTAAGCTTCCCATGCTTGAAACCCAAGCATAGCCAAATTTGAGCCATAACTAGCCCCAACTTGCCTTTTAATCACAGTGCCTTCTTTTCTTCTCTTTTTGGTCTCTAAAGCCAGCACTAGCCCTACGTCAGGCCTGGGGACTGCTGCCATCATAGGCATTCTCATCGTTATCTTTGTGCTGCTCCTGGTGGCTGTGGATGTCACCTGCTACTTCCTGAACAAGTGTGGCCTGCTGATGTGCATTGCTGTCAACTTATGTGGCAAATCCGGCCCAGGAGCCAAGGGCAAAGACATGGAGGAGGGCAAAGCTGCCTTCTCGTGAGTATTGTCAGCACTTACCTTGCTCCTTCTGTTGATCAGTGTGTCCTTTCAGCAGCTCTGGAAAATAAACTGGTTTAGGGAGCTCTGGGTTCCTTGTCTCTGATGGGAGGGTCCTGAGAAGATCTGGGGCCACGCTGGTTCTGCTTTAAGTTTCCAGGAGGCACTTGCTTCAGCCACTTCTCTTGTTTGGGTTTTTGGTTTGTTTGGTTTTTTTCTATTAGTAGCCATCAAGAAAGATACCTAATATGAATGGCCTTGCTCCTTCTGTTGATCAGTGTGTCCTTTCAGCAGCTCTGGAAAATAAACTGGTTTAGGGAGCTCTGGGTTCCTTGTCTCTGATGGGAGGGTCCTGAGAAGATCTGGGGCCACGCTGGTTCTGCTTTAAGTTTCCAGGAGGCACTTGCTTCAGCCACTTCTCTTGTTTGGGTTTTTGTTTTTGTTTTTGTTTTCGTTTTTTTCTATTAGTAGCCATCAAAAAAATACCTAGTATGAATGGGAACCAATTTCCATGCAATTCCTTTGCTACAGGAAAGATGAGTCCAAGGAGCCTATTGTGGAGGTGCGGACGGAAGAGGAGCGGACCCCCAACCACGATGGGGGAAAGCACACAGAGCCCAACGAGACCACCCCGCTGACAGAGCCAGAGTATGTTGATGTAGTCCACTTTAGCACAGGGTCAATGCATTGCCCTCAGCTGCCTTAGTCCCTGCTCTCTCCTGCCCATGACACAGGGCAGGAAGATGGGAAGAAAGGTGAAATCTCCACATTCCATTTGTGATTTCCCAGTGAGGAAATGCTTCTCTCTTCCTCAAGATTCAGAGACTCCTCTTTCCAGCACTGGAAGGGAAGGAGCAGGAAAGCAATCTTTCTTGAAAGAGCTGTCTCTGCCAGTCCTGTCTAGTGTGTGGATCAGGCACCTGTCCAGGTTCACTGCAAAGGATCCAGAGCAAAAACAGCTCCCACCTAGCACCAACTCCTGCTTCAGCTCTGCCCTAGCAATGCAGTGTCCCATGGTGAAGGAAGTCAGAGCTCAGAGCAGCTGAGTAGCTACACTCGGGGTGTTGGGGGAGGCACAGCAAGTCTGATTATTCTGTGAGAGGGCTGAGAGGTACCTGTGAGCTTTGTTTGTATCAGGGAACTCGTTTGGGGCCTGAGTCTGTGAATCCATGCTAGCTGGAGTTGGCAAGGGTGTTAAGTGTTGCTCACTGTTGATGTTAATAAGCTTATTCCTGGAGTGCTGTGGTTCTAGTCTCCTCGGAGTAGTTGTGGGAGGAGTTGACTTTTGGATGCAGCTCAGGTTTGGGATTGGTGGCACAAGTTGGGCTCCTTTCCTTCAGCAGGGTCACTGCACTGGTGAGGTAGTTAGGCTCTCCCACCTGCCTGCTGCTTACCTCATGTTGAGGAGCTGAGCAGGGGGCCCACTGGTAAAACCACCCTGCTGGAAGTTTCTGTGAGGTGAGAGAGGCCAAAGGAGGCTAAGTCCCCAGAGAGCACCGAAATGGCATCTGCAGCAGTGAGGAATAGCTGGGATTTATATTGCCCTCATTTTCTTGGCTAGTCTTAGCAGAGTTTTAACTTGATTATCCTCCTCTATGAAGGTTTTCTTCTTGTTAATAAGCCCAAGGTGGTGTTCTTGGGCAAACTGGCTTCTCATGGCATAAACCATTTGCTTTTCCAGCCTCACATCCACATACTTATGAAGGCAACTGGTGCTATGTCGTGGTTGCTAAAGCACAGTTACACTGCCAGACATTGTTCTGAAGCAAACCTTACCCCAGCTAACCCAACAGGCTTGACTCTGGTCAAAAGGGCAGAAAATACCACCTCAAAGCTGCATATATGTATGTGTATGGAAATATCTATATGCATTACGTGTGTGTGTGAGAAAAAGAATTATACTCTGTGTGGTCTGATGAAGGCCTTAGACTTGCAGGCAAAAGGACAAGGGCCAAGATGAGGGACTGGACTCAGGGGTCCTACACCAGAGCCTGGTTGTGTGGTGACAGATGGCACAGGGCTGCAAGCTCAGGGAGTTGGTAGAAAGCTTCCTTGTGGGATTAGGTAGAAGAGGCTGAGGGGAAAGTTAGGCTAAAAGAGAAGAGTCTCTGTAAGGTGGCAGGGTTACGTTTGGCTAATACTTGAACCAGGATCTGCACAAGGAGCTGCTCCTGAAGGTCATGTCCTCTTTTTCTCTTCCTAGTTATTCCTCAGTCATGCCAGCCAGCCCTTGCTACCCTTTGCACGTTTGACCTCTGAAAGATTTCTGCTCCTCTGAGTACCTCTCCGTGTTCTCTGTGTGTTGTAACCACGTGCCATGCTTCTGCTGCACCACCCAATTGCCTTCTCACTCTGATGCTCTGCACCCCTTTCCCCTCCTGTCATTTATGGGCTTCATTGTCTCTATTTCTCTTCTACTCCTGTCCTCTCCACAGGCACCCCACCGACACTGCAGCCACTGTTGAGGACATGCTGCCTTCTGTAACTACGGGCACCACTAACTCTGACACTATCACTGAAACCTTTGCCACTGCTCAGAACAGCCCCACCAGCGAGACCACTACTCTGACCTCCAGTATTGCCCTGCCAGCCACAGCCACCCCTGACTCAAACTCCGTGTCGCCTGGCCAGGCTACTCCAGCCAAAGGGGCAGCCCCCTCAGTCTCTTCACCACCACCCTCCTCCACCCCCAAAGTGGCCCCCCTTGTTGATCTCAGTGATACCCCAAGCTCTGCTCCAGCTGCTAATAATTTGTCTTCAAGTGTCCTGTCCAGCCAAGGTGCAGTGCTCAGCCCCAGCGCTGTTGCTGGTGTGGCTGAGGCCTCCAAAGCAGCAGTGGGTAACAAACCAGCTGCCCCGAGCCCCGCAAACCTTGCTAGCCCTCCAGCTCCATCAGAGCCCAAGCAGGAGGTCTCCAGCACCAAGAGCCCCGAGAAGGAAGCTGTGCAGCCCAGCACAGTGAAGAGCCCAACAGAGCCAACCAAGAACCTAAGCAATCTGAAGAGTGAAGCTGCTTCAGGCAGCGCCACAAACCCCTCCCAGAATGAGGACTTTAAAATGGACGAAGGGACTTTCAAGACACCAGACATTGACCTTGCAAAGGATGTTTTTGCAGCTCTTGGCACTACTACTCCTGCCAATGTGGCTAGTGGGCAAACTCGAGAGCTTGCTTCTTCCACTGCAGACAGCTCTGTACCTGCTGCACCTGCAAAGACCGAGTATGGCTGCCTTTAATCTTCTGTGGTTGTGTGCTGTGTCTCCTGTGCACTGGTGCTTGTGCTGTGCTCTTGTTGGGTGTTCTCTTAACTAATCTCATTGTTTCCTTAGCAAACTCACTCACTTGTGAACCAACTAAACAGGGCTTGGCTTCAGAGGTTTAGGAGGGAAGCAGGAATAGGCTGCACTAGACAAGCAGAGAAAAAGGAAATCCAGGAATTTGGTATAAATGTGTTGCTCTTTAAACTTCTATGCAGCTTTGTTTATTGTAGGTTATTCTTTTATGACAGAGATCAGAAACTGTTCACTCTGGTCCAAAGGAGTTTCAGTTCAACGCACAGTCACAAAAATTCCATTTCCTAATGCATCAGTGGAGGCCTTCAGAACTTATTTCAGTCCAAGGGAGGCATGAGCTAGTGCTGTGTGAAACTGGAAGGGCAGGGTACCTCTGGATTTGTCCCTAGACTGGCCAAGGGTAAGGCAGTGTGCTGCTGGCTGAGAGCAGGGGAGCAGGCACAGCACAGCTGGAGCAGGAGAGCTCGGGGGTGTTGTCCTGGGGTGTTAGAGATGAGTCTCCACCCACTGTACTGGGTTTCCTCTTGACCTAGCTCATTTATTCAGAGGTCATCAGCATGCCCCTAGGCAGGACAGCCCTCAGGGTGGCATCTGGGCAGGATCCACTTTCCCCAGCTGAGATGAGTCTGCACCTTGTGTTTGGCAGGAGACACTGTAACTGGAGAGTGGAGATGGCATGAAGTCGTTAAGTGGGGGGAGGGTCCCCAGCTATTATGCAGATGCTGGACAAGACCACTCTTGCTGTGTTGGGTTTGGGGGGCAGTTGCTGACAGAGCCATGAGCACAGAAGCCTGGAAAATGCACATTAAAAATGGATAAGCCACCCCTGAAGGGACAAGTACCCAAGGTCCCCATTCCTTCTGGTTTCCTATCTGGACAACATGTTGATAGAGGCTGGATGAAACAGGAGCAGTATCTTGTCTTTCCTGCCTGAGCAGGGTCTGTGCTTTATCATGGGCAAGAGTTGTAAAAAGGCAGCTCACATTTGTTGTGGGAGCAGCTCCCAAAACCAAAAGACTTGAGTTCACATTGCATCTTTAGCTTTTGCAGAGGGAAGTGTACTGAGGGCACTGGGCTCTGCACTGTCAGCTAGATGGCTGCCAAGAACCTAACTAGCTGTTCTAGAGCTAGGTTTACAGCTCAGATAAATCTAGGCTATGCTATAGCAACCACAGTGGAGACATCTCCTGACTCACAGCTTTGGTTAGAACTTTTTCCATCCTTCCATCTCCAGGGAAGTTACCATATTCTGGAAGCTTTGTATCATATTTCCATTAAGCACTGGCCTTGATGGTCAGCTTTGGCAGTGGGATGGCAACATGTATTAGCCCTCAGGGAAGAGCAGGCAGGCATGGCAGGACCAGAAGACAGACAGGCTCTGTTCTGTACCCCAGTGAAAACTGTGCTGTTCTACTTCATTATTCAGGTGCCTTTACATCTCAGGGCTCTGGTCTCCCTGCCTGCTGTGCTCCCATCCTCCCCTAAGTCAGGAGACACTCCTGTCCCGTGGCTGTCCCCCAGCATGGCACCTGGCCCTGCCTGCCCAGCCTGGGGGGCACAGCAGCTGCACTGGGGCTGCAGGGAACCAGGCTGCCCCCACGGGTCCTGCTGGGACACTCCCAGGCAGAGAAATCCACATTCAGGTCACTGCACCTAAAGGCACTGCCCTGCCGTGCTGGGTGCTGCAGGAGACAGACAGGATGGGCAGCTGTGGCTGGGACTGGGCCTGAAAGCAGGTAGGAAATGGTTTGCCCATAGGAAGGGAATGTTTCAGCTGGATTAATGCAACTTGGCCTGTGTCATGGTGGAATGTAGAGCTGTGTCCTTCCTGCTCCTGCAGCCACCCCCCTCTGCCTGGGCTGCTCATCTGCTTCCCTTGGCACAGTGGGTATTGCAGCCACAGCCTTGTGTTCATCTCACCTGCCTGTGTGGGTGAAGTGCAGTCACCTCAGACTGACTTCACAGCTGTGAACAGGCTGGACCAGGACTTTCCTCAGGGAGGCCACAGCTGTGCCTGCTGTGGCACTTTTCACAAAAGAACTATGAAGACAGAGTTGGACAAACAGGTTTCTCTGATGCTTCCATAAAGAGAAGCTGATGAACCTGAGCTTTAGCCTGTGAAGATGGGGACCTCCTTAGACTTGTGAAATGTGTTGGACAGGTTATCACTTCTGTGTTTCCCTTCCTGCAACATGCTGGGAAATTCTGAGACTGGCTTCCTCTAGGGAAAAAGGGTTCCTGCTCTGATAGCAGTGTGTTTTCATAGGGCATCTGGGTGACATAAATGAGGGATGGTGAAATCAAGTTCCTTTGCAGTGTGTTTTCCTTTTTGCTCCTTTTTACATACCAGGGTGTGTCTTGAGCCTCTGCTGCAGCTGAGACTTCATCCTACCAGGGTGTTAACTCGGGGCAGGAGGAGAATCAAAAAAGATTTCACTAGACATAAATGAAGCTGGGATGGGGGTTGAGTTTGATTTTACCTATTTTTGCACCTGGAAATGCCCATTTAACCCTAGCAAGGCAATATATTTGTTTGTCTACAGAAACATGTTCTTTCTTTACTACTAATTCAGAAATAGTCTCTGCCTCTAAACTGTGCCATTTTGGTGATTCTTCCTCAGGAAAATCCCAGTAGAAGACAAATCTGAAGTGCAAGCAACGGAAACCAAGACACCTCCAGCAGAAGTCAAGACGGTCCCCAATGAAGCCACACAAACAAATGAGAATGAGAGCAAAGCATGATCAGTGACAGATGACAGCAAATGACAGAACAACTTCACCCAAGCATTTAAAACACAAAACACAACACACATCCCATTCCTCTAGTGTCTGTTGCCTTTTTTTAAAAAAAAAAACAAAAAAAAAAAAAAGAAAATAAAAGAAAAAGAGATTTCCCCCCCCCCAATTATGCATTTTCTGTTTTGTTTGTTTTTTTTTTTAAAAAAAAGATTTCTAGAAAGGTTCTATTTGTTGTGCACTTGCTTTTTAAAAGTAATACATTTTAAAAACAGGGTTAAACCCATAACCAGATCAGGGCTTAGCTGACCCTGTGTATATTCACATAAGCAAAATTGCAAATGCCATTTGCAGCGTGGTTGGGAAGCTCAAAATCAACTAGTCCTAGACAAAAAAAGAAAAAAAAAAATTATTTAAAAGACAAAAAAAAAAAAAAGACCCTGTTCTTTCCTTTGTTAGTATAGCAGATATAACCAGTGTGCTACCTGGCACAGCTGGTACTTAATGAACAAAGTCCACAATTTATTTTTATACTTTTCAGTCGAGTTTGAAATATGTAAAGCCTCATAAATAAGTTATAATTTCTGTTCACCTTGTATTCGTTCAGTATGCAAAGTGTCTTGAGCTCTTTGTGACTGAATCCTGTTCTCCGCGTTAGACGTTTATTTGGGGTTTATTATTATCTTTTTTTAGGAAGAATGCCAAAATTGCAGCTGCGGGGATGTATTTCAATTTGCAGTATTCAGACTCTACATTTCTTTAAATTTTATGTTAATTTTTGCCAACTTTTGTTCTTTCCAGTGTTTACAATTGACAAATTTTTTTTTTTTTAACTTTGGTTGTGTTTAAATGTATGTAAAATAGCTGCCTTTTTTTTTTTTTTAAGTAAATACAGTCTATAGACACTAGGTTAGAAGCATGCTTGCTTTGCAAAGGGAGACATTTTAAAACATGGATGTTTACAGTAGTTGTTTCCCCTTTATCTTTTCTTAATTATTGTTATTATGATTATTATTATTATTATTATTATTTCTTACTGGAGTAAGAAGAAAAGTAACGCTGGGTTTTGGTTTGGGGTTTTTTTTGGGTGGGTGGGGAGGTATTCAAAACACTTGTCACCAATCAAGGTCTTTATCCAGCAATCCACATAAACACAGGCTTAACATGGAATGAGAGAGCTGCTGGTGAGAGTCCTTTTATACTTATTAGTAAGAGTTTAAGTCCCTTGCTGGACCTGGGCCTGACTGCATAAGAGAAATATCACCTCTGCTTTTTTAGGACATTCTCCCCTTTCCTTCATGGAACCCTCCTGGAGCTTTGAGAAGCAGAAGGGAGATTGTACAGTTAGGGCTGGTCTGGTCTCATCTCAGATGTTTGACTACATCAATTCCTCCTTAGTATGTCGGTCAGTATCCTTTCCTTTCACCCTCTGAAGTCGATCTAGAAGTGAAGACTCTTTGTACAAGGGTGCTTGACAGCATGCAAGGCTTGTCCTGCAGAGCCAGCTCTGTTAGCAGTTGGGCTAGATGATTGTTGTAGGTCCCTTCCAACTGGACTGTTTGTCACATCATGTGTACTGAGCCATCCATGTCTGCAGAATCAAAACTATGAAATCAAGAGGAAGTTCTTGAAAGTCAATGCCAAGACTCCCAGTGGTTCCAGTTGCCTTTAGCAGCTGGGAAAGAGGGGCTGGTGTGTGTGTGGTGTCGTTATGGAGGGGGAGTGTATCAGGCATCTGACCATTGGGCCTCCTGGAGTAACGCGGAGATTTCGGGGTGAGAAGAAAGGAGGCTTGAGCAGAAGGAAGGCAGAGGTATATAGGGGAAGACCAGCCCATTGTATAGAGGTGTTCCTTCTGTTGGGGTTTTGGGGTTTTTTTCCTCTTTTTTTTTTTTTCCTTTTGTTTTCTTTTTTATTCTACTTTAGATCTGCAAGCTTGTGCACTGTGGATGCGTGACTATTTTAGTGTGAAACGTGTTTTTTGTCATAGTATTGAAATAATAAAAGCTTCAACATAGTTTGGATGTGGAAGGTGTAGCGATAGTTCAGATTTGAAAAAACAAAAACTATTCAGGAAAAAAAAAAAAAAAGATGACAACTCTTAGAAGGGACAGAAGCCTTTAAATGAAAAATCAAACTGAGCTGACTGTGGCATCTATTCCATTGTGCTAAGGTGATGAACAGAAGGATGGTGGGGGTGGGTAGGCTGCCGTTTGGCTCAGGGTAAATTGAGCCACTTTTATCAGTGTATTCCTCTAAGTATGCAGTCTTTTACAGTCACATCACATAATTTCAAACTGTGCAAAATAATGGTCTTGTCATTTGCTAAGTGTGGGGGTTTTTGCGTTTTTTTCCTTAGCTCCTGGGATGCAAATGGAGGATGACTGGATATAAGGCATAGGCAGTCATGCAACACCCATCCTGAGCAGGGTATCGGGGCAGGATGGGTCCTCGCTTCAAAGCCTTGTGTCAAATTTGGCCCTTGTGTGACCCATCACAGCAGTGTCGGTGTAATTATGGGGGAGTCTGGCCCACAGTCCATGGGGGTCTTTTTTAGAGAAATCAATCCACAAAAAGCTGCCGTGGTCTGTCTGTGACTGGGGAGACTGCTTGGGGCAGCAGGGGGCTGTAGGCAGGCAGCAGGTATGTCCATCCTCTGGGTGACCACAACAATTTGTTCCTCGTTTCTGCAAAGTTCTTGGCTGTTGTTGTCTGCATGTTACCCCTCCTACATCAACCCACCAGGAGGGGAGCCCCTGAGAGGATACCAATGCTGCCCCATGCTAATGACCAGAAACATGTCCCGTGGCACTGGCCAGCAGCTCTTGGGTGAAAACTGTGGGAACTGTCACCTGGATTGGCATTCCTATCATGGAAGGTAGCCAGGTCAAAGCCTGGTCCAACCCCCAGCTGCCTCACCAGACAGTGCCCTGCTGCCTGCAGCCTGTTGGTGTGGAGATCACCGGGGTGAGCCCCGTTCCCAAGGCAGAAGTGAACCCTGTGATTGCCTGAACGTTGGGAGTGTCCATCCAGCTCCTTTTTAATGCCCTCGTGACACCTCCCAATACTTGTAGATTAATTCTGGAGAGTGGTTTTATACTCTCCCTTAACGGAGAATAATTTGTTTTAGTTTAGGAGTACCCCATTTCCAACCTAGCTTAGGCTTCATTGCTTTTATTTAAACCTTTAAAGAGGGACCAACCTGATGCCATTTATGCTGTATATGTTTATATATGTATCCATGCCATACATATATATCTATATGGCAATGCAGACTGATCAGCTTCTAGTTGTGGAGTGATGACATTTCATGCTGCACCATACGTAAAGATGATGAGCTAATCGTGCATCCAGTTGTTCAGCGTTTAGAGTGGAGTTTTATTTTCACACTTTTCTATGGAGCCTTCAAACCCCAGATTTTCACACGAGGCTGTTTTGATAGTTGTTCTCAGACCCTCCATTGACATCCTTACCCAGCATTCCCTACTTTTGGGGGCCTTCTATCTTGTTAAAAAAACAAAAAAACAAAAAATCTTTTTACCAAGTGAAACATGGATTCCACCTGTATTCCCATTCTCACTGGTGTAAATACTGATACTAACTGAGGATTTTGACTTTGCATTCTGTCAGAATACTGTGTTCAAATAAAAATTACAAAAAAAAAAAAAGCTCCTGCCTGCAGTCTGCCCTTCTTTAGCTTCTTTAGATGCTCTGCTGGTCCTGCAAAGGAGCAGGGATCCTTGCTGCCTGTGGAGTCGGGCAGCTCAGCACTTTGCTGGCACACGTAGCCCAGGAGAGGATTTTCCTCCCAGGCAGCGTGGTGGGACTGGAGAGAACTGGCTGTGGACATGGCTGGTTGGTAACATCACAGTGAGGTTTCTGCTTTCACACCCAGCAGATGCCAGCGTGGCCTGTCCTTGGTATCCCATGCTGCAGGCAGTGCTGCTGCGTTCAGGAGGCTTTGCCCTCTCTCCCTCACCTTTCTCTCCTGAGACAACTAGTTCATAATCTGTCAGGAATGAAAATGTCCTGGCAGTGCAGCAGGGACTCCTCTGATTCTCTGACTTCCTTTGGTGGCAAACAGCTTCCATTAACCACCACCCCCAATCTTCTGGCTCTGAAAACATGGCTCTAGAGCATCTCCTGACAGTGGTGCCCAAGACCCACCTGGCTGTTGGTGCCACGTACGTGCGTGTGTGTGTCCTGAGGGGGAGATGCTCTGTGTGAGGTGCTGGTGTGAGGGGAAACTAGATGCCAAGACTGCTCTGACCCACAGCCTGAGAAGGTTGAGAGGCAGGTCTCTGGGCCATTGCCTGTGCTGCCAGAGATCCGCCAGCACCTCTGTTTGCTTTCCTTCATCCACAGCACAGCCGGGTGGGTCGCTCGGGGCTGGCAGCAGTGCCACGAGCCGAGCTGGCAGCAGCACGGAGTGCTGATCTGGGGACACGGGCAACAAGATCAGGAAAGGCTTGAAAACAGCTCTGCTCCCAGCTGGCCAGCTGCTTTTTGTGCTGGAGGATGGTGCCATCCTCTGGCTGTCTCACTGCTGACGAGCTGTGTCCCACCCCGGGAAGGGCTGCGCTGACTCCCAGGAGTGGCACGAAGCCTCCCTGGGCACCACACCCCCCTGAGCCTGCAAACTGCTGCCCTGAGCACCCCCCAGGACACAGCTTTCTGACAGCACGGAGGATACCGAAACACTCGCTGCCAAGTGGCCACTTCTCAGCCAGTGCCGGGACCCTCCATAGGTTAACCTGGAGGAAGGAAGTGGTATTTCTGAATGAGGGTTTAACCCTTGGCAACTCAGCATCTCTCCTTCCCAATGCCAGACTGGGAAAGCCAAAGTCTTTAAAGGGTATCTTACAACAAACAAACAAACAAAATCCAAGTCTAGTATAAAGATCAGGGCAAAGGGTGCTAAAGGGTATTGGTTGTGGATGAGGGTTCATGTTGCTTCAGGTTCCATCTCCCAGTTGGTAGGTCTGCTAAATTTCAGCTCAGCTACTTTTTACACTAACCAAAGATGTCCTTGTCACTAAATTTTTGCCG